TGCACTGCAGTGAGGGAGTTAAGTCAGGACGTGTTGGTACAAAAGAGAGCACCAAACCTCCTCCTCTAAGGGTCCTTGAGGACTCATGCAACATTCCTGAAGCAGGCAACACCATCCTGCTTTTTACAAAATGCAACGGTGAGTAATATCTTTTTAGGGGGTGAAGTATAAGAAACATTAAAGTGTTTAGATTGAGAAAGCACTTTTAGGCACGTAATGCTTGATAAATGACCAAACAATTTGCAGAGTTTTAAATGGCATGTTTGAGCAATTACTTCTCAAGTGCTGTAAAGTATGTCCATTTGTTCTGGTTCCAAGACGACCTCTGAAGCGAGTTGAGGACTAGATCAACTGCATTATCTCTTCAGTTCAGGATACATTACCATTTGAATGTTGCCATGGCATCACACCATTAGACACACAAAACCTCTTTGAAGAAAGCTTGCCCAGTGACGGGCTTAAAGACTTTTGTTGCTATCAGGAATATCTGCTACAGAAATATCCATAAATTAGGTGCTTTTTTTAAATTGGGCTATTATTGTAACCTTAATGTTATATTAACAAATGGCCAAAGGTTACAACACATAATTTCTCCGCCCCCATCCCCTCTCTCTCTCTAAGGGAAAACAAAATACAAATCTACATAGCCCTGTGTAAAAAAGTTTTGCTCACTAAACCTAATAACTTAGTAGCAACAACTGCAATCAAGCATTTTTGATAACTTGCAGTGTGTCTGTTACAGTGCTGTGGAGGCATTTTGGCCCACTCATCTAATAAGAATTGTTGCAATTTAGCCACTTTAGAGAATTTTTGAGCATGAACTGCCTTTTTAAGGTCATGCCACAGCATCTCAATTCGATTCAGGTTAGAGCTTTGACAAGGCCAATCCAAAGTCTTCATTTAGTTTTTCTTCAGCCATTCAGAAGTGGACTTGCTTTGAATCATTTAAATTCTTCTTCAAGATATTTTGATGCTCAGCAGAATTCATGGTTCCATTTATGACAGCTTTTCCACATCCTAGAGCAGCAAAACAGCCCAATACCATCACACTACCACCACCACATTTTACTGTTGCTATGATGGTCATTTTCTGAATTGTGGAAACACACCTTTCAGTCAGTCCACAGAGCAAAAAAGTTCCGGGGATCATCAAGATGTTTTCTGGCAATACTAAGTCGAGTCTTTCTTTTTGATCAGTGATTTTATCCCAGTCTCTTTCTTATGGTAAAGTCATGAACACTCAGGCAAGTGAGACCTGCAGTTCTTTGGATGTTGCTGTGGGGTCTTTTGTGACCTCTTATATGAGTTGTTGCTGCACTCTTGGGGTAATTTTGGTCGGCCGTCCACTCCTGGAAAGGTTCTCTACTGATCCATCCTTTTATCATTTTTATATATAAAGAAATTCTCTTTTTGTAGGTTTGTCTGTATATATAGACAAATCTACTAAACGAAATTTCTTCATATATAATATATATTAAATAAAATTATATATAATTAAAATTGTATTAATTATAACATGTTCACACATTGTAAGTTTTGTCATTTCTTAATGGAGTTTCTATCTAACTTAGGTGGAACCTAAGTAATAATACAGTTGTATTAGTTAGTTAATGCATTTACTAACACGAACAAACAATGAGCAATACAGTTATTAGAGTATTTGATCATGTTAATGTTAGTTAGTGAAAAAAGTTGCTCATTTTAATTCACTGTAAATGTACTAATGTTAACAAGCATGAATTAGAATTTGAATTAATGCATTATTAAATCTTAAATATAATTAATAAATGCTGTACATGTATTGTTCACATTTAGTTCATGTTAGTAAATACAATAATAAATAAAATCTTATTGTAAAGTATGATCCAAACCAAGACTTTTAAGGGCACCTATGATGAAAATCATCTTTTGTAAGCTGTTTGGACAGAACTGTGTGTATGTATAATGTCTCCACAGTCGTATTGGGGTGATATAAAGACATAAGTCTCTTTCTTAAATTTCCTGATATAAAATAGAATCCAAATCCCTCCATTTTGAAGCCCACTGCAACGTGATGTAGGAGTGCGGTTTCCCTGCCTAGCGTATTGATTTGCAGCCGCGTATTACCATGTCTCCAAAGTAACGAGTATAATCATATCGACAAGACAAGACGTGCGCAAAGCAACTGGGATTGAAAGATCTGTTGAGCTCTCTGTGATCATCAATCTTCATCAAATGTGATCAAGTAAAAAGTTTAAAACGTTTTTATAACAGTGCATGTTTTTAATTAATTACAGCAATTTTACCATTTTGACTTTATCACCACAGCCGTATGTCAGTACTATTAGTACTATCTATGAAACTAATCCTGGTTTGTGGACATTAAATCAGGTTTATTTTGTATAACATAACGGATATCCAAAAAGCGGTGGATATTAATGTGTTTAATGTGCCATGCAAAAACAGTGCAAAGTTAAACACGCACGCTGTGTGTGTGTGTGTGTGTGTGTGTGTGTGTGCTTGAACCTTGTAATGACATGAATTAACTCCACATCAAATACATCAAATAATCATTGGGAAAGTTCTTACTGTAGTATTTCTCACAAATGTTACGTGAGATCTGCTTCCTTCATTTCTGTCTGTTATCTGAGGCAACGGTGTAACGGTGGGTGGGGAGGACTAGCATTAAAGACACAATTCACAAAAACCGCTACCTGATGCTCAGAGCTATAAAATACAAACCTCTGAAAGGTATAATAAATAATCTGATGGATGTTTTGAGCTGAAATGTAACAGACATATTTCTGGAGACACAAAAGTCTTATCTTAAATCTTGACAAAAGGGGTAAAATAGGTGCCCTTTAAGTTTAACTGTAATCTAACTGTAATACTGAATAGATGACTGTACTCAGCAGAACCTGCTTTTCTAATGGCATGCCACATTTTCACTTGACAGAACACAAAAACAGAATACATTCAGACCGAGAAATAAAGTGAAACTTTATCGATCCCTTGTCACGCGTTAGAAAGAACTGTGGAACATACATCAGAATTAAGTTATTCATCATCATAAAGTTGTCGGTCACCAGGTGAGTAAGTCCTTCTTGAATTGTTTAATCACTTGGAGGTGCTCATAAATAGTCTGTCTCTCACTGCCAGGTGAAAACATGTGCCCAGTTTTTCTTCACCGCTTTTCTCCTTTTACAAATTAACAAATGGTAAGAGAACAAGTTAGCAGAAAAACTTGCTTTTAGAATAGTTCAAGTCCAAGGTGAAACACTGGCACACACAACAGCTGTTTAAGAAAACATTGAATAAAGATGTTTATAAATTTTAAGTGTCTCCTTACATCATTATTTTCCAATAGGCATCACTCACAGAGAAAAACTGAGTCCGTTTATACCACCAAAAAGAGAGAAAATGTATTGCTGAGTTCATGCACTGTGTCAGAAAAAAAGACGAGTCAACAAACAACAAAAAAGGGATTTAGGGTTTAGCCGGAAGAACGATGAGGATGGGCCAGGGTCTTTGTATAAGCCAAACCTTGTGGGAGCAGATGGACAAAACCTCTGCTGAATGGACAGAGTCTCTCAGTGAGATTGTTGACGAGGAGATGGTCAGTTCGTTTGGGCCGCTGAAAGAAAGGCTCGCTGCTCTGTTCAGAAGGCCTGTGGGAGAGTCTGGGGAACTCTGCCTTTGATGGAGGAAATATCAGAAAAAACAAAGAGCTGACTTTGTCGATGGTGTATTATGATCTTGGGAAATAGTTCAGACAACTTCATTAAGAGCAAATCTACTTTAAAGACCCTTTGTTTTATTTTTATGTTCAGTAATCAACTTATGTTTGAGTCAATTCCTGGAGGCATACTGTAATCAGCAAAGCCCTGAAGATAGGCATAACTTCACTTCTTTCTTTGTGTTCCAGCTACCATTCAGATAAATGAATGAGTTAAAATGTGTCTTTGTTAGACTAAGACAAGACAGAAAGTCAACATATTGCTGATCTGGCATTACTAGAGTATTGCAATTAGCCGTCCGGTGCATTTGTCGTTTGTTGGATTAGCTCAGTCATTTCTTTATGTCCCAAATTGACTCTGACCAAGAGGTAACGACATTGGGTGGAGGGGTTTTCTTGCAGCTTTGAGGTAAGAAATGCACAGATGAGATGAAATCCTAAAAAGGGGGCTCTGAGTGGATTAGCAGGGGGTACAAGGGGATTAAGTCTGACGCTAACTGAAAATTAGCCCCATTTGTGGGACTTGGGTAGGACAATACGTTATCTGGGTAATAGAAATGGCAAATAAAGACCCAAGATGTCTTTTTATTTTATATTCTGTGTAATGCTTACATTTTTTTATTCAATTTGTTATTTAATTGATGAAAATATTTTCAATGTAAAGCAGATTCAACATGTTTTTTTTTTTAATAAAGCCTTGTTATCAGCATAAATGGTTCCTTTGACATTCAGATGACCCTTACATTCCACAAATGTTTTTGAGCATCTAAAAATGTAAAAATTCTACATTTTCTAAAAATGTACTATAGCTCTTTAAAGCTCGTCACTTTTTCAAGGATAAATAATCAAAACAAAATAGACACTTCAAACACTTTTGTTGAAATATTTATTACTGGCATGGTTAGTTTAATACGTCCTATATGTGTTTTAACTTATTGGACATTTATTCTGACACTATTCTGAATTCAAAGGCCTGAATGGTACTGAATGAGGAAAATCACAAATTTATAAACTAATCAGGTTTCAGCAATCAAACAACAGAGTTTTGCAATCTATATGTTGTTCGTACTCTTCACCTTCTTGTCTGTATGTAATATGCATTGTGAACAGTTTGACAAATTTGGCAATTGTAATCATTTTTCTTAATACAATAGGTTACATTAAACATTTTCATTCTAACAGTTTTCTATAGGAGGAAACACTTATTATTTAGGGCAGGGGCAAACTCGGTCTTGGATGGCCGGTGTCTTGAAAGGTTAAGTTCCAACCCCAATCAGACACACCTGGCCTAGCTAATCAAGCTCTTACTAGGCTTTCTAGAAACATCGTTGCAGGTGTGTTGAGGCAAGTTAAAGCTCAAATCTCCAAGACACCGGCCCTTCAGGACCAAAATTGTGCATCCCTGACTTAAGGTAGCTTCTCATGTTTCTATTTTAGGTTCTTCTTGCTTACTTGCTAGTTTATAAAATATATGATTAAATTATATTTTGTTTGTGGTCATTGTATAATCACTTTCTAATAAAGTTAATCGTTGAATGTGAAGAATGTTTCCAAAATTAATTCTAAATCACCCGTTTAAAATCCAACAGCTGATGTTAAAACTTTTGTTTTGACTGTTTTTAAGCATATAAGAACAATCCGGAAGGATTCTAAAGCAAGTTTTTACCTTTGAACTTTTTGTTAATTTATGTAATGATCGATTAAATATTGATACTAGCTGTGCGGTGGCGCATTGAGAAGCGCGTTCGCCTCACCACAAGAAGGTCGCTGGTTAGAGCCTCGGCTGGGTCAGTTGGCATTTCAGTGTGGAGTTTGCATGTTCTCGCCGGGTGCTCTGGTTTCCCCCACAAATCCTAAGACATGCAGTAAAGGTTAATTGGGTAAAATTGGCTAAATTGTCCGTAGTTGTGTGAATGAGTGTGTATGGATGTTTCCTGTTGATGGGTTGCAGCTGGAAGGGCATCCGCTGCGTAAAACATGCTGGATAAGTTGGTGGTTCATTCCGCGGTGGCGACCCCAAATTAATAAAGGGTCTAAGCTGAAAAAAGATGAATGAATGAATGAATGAATGAATGAATGAATGAGTGAATAAATGAATGTTGATACTGGACTGGAAATGTGGACACTGCACTCAAAAATAGAAGTTAATGCGGGCTCGTTATACATTAGTTTATTTAAATGTTTTTCTTAAAAAATATACAAATGTATATCTAAATCACAGGCATATACAAAACAGGCATTTTATTATTTGCCCACTAGGAATTTACTTACATTTTCATTATGGAACAGAAGGTGGCGCTGTAAAAGAAGACAGGAAATTGCAAATTGCTTGCAATGTTTTATTGCATCATTAAATAAATTCAATAGATTCAATGACTTGTAATTGGTGTTTATTTTGAGCAAAACAAAACAGTCATTGTTTTAAAAATATACTTTAGGGATAAAATAATTAATGCTTTCAGTTTTGAAGCTTTTGTGTAAGGTACATAGGAGTGTTGGTGTTACCTTAAGGTAAAAGTAAATAAATTTTATAGTCAACCAACCACATCCTGTCAACATTTAACGTTTAACACGTAATGTGTTTGCACTGAAAGGGCTTCAGGTGAGACCACACACCCCTATAACGGAGAGGCAGAGTGGTACAGTCCAGACGCAGCCTTTTCCCTATGGAGTTGTTGCTGAGGAGCTTTCAGAGTTTCGGGGAGCGAGAGAAGAGAGCACGGGCGGCGATATGGCGCTGACAATGACTGCCCATTTTCTCAGGAATAACCCGATTCAGCTGGGACTGAATTTGAGAGTCCTGCTCATGCTCTCATTTGTGTCAGGTAGGTTTGATCGTGCTTTATTTGCTGTGTCGTGAGCGCGCAAGCCCTTTGCAAAGTTTGGGGGAATCCAGCGGTCTGTGGAAACTATTGAGCGCCTAAACATGATGCAGTCCAGACTCGCGGACAGTCCCTCGGAAAACGTCACCATGCAACGACGTTTGTGTTACGAAAAGTTTCTACAACTTTAACATATAGGGTTTCGTTTTGGATAACTTCAAAATATTCTCTCTGGATGCTGAGTTGCTCCACTTTAATTGTCAAATTCCATTATTTTCCCTCAAACTACGCTGATTGCGCGAGCACGAGGACTGAGATTCAGCTGCCATGGAAACATCCGAGCAGAAACTGAGAAACAAAACAGTCGCTGGTTTTAATATAAAAATAAACCTTTGTCTCTAACGGTAGCTGCAAGTCTTTAAAGAAAACTCTGATATTATTCAGTGTAACCGCTTGACATTTGATGTTGGTAATGGAATGTTAGTTTTCGTTTGCCAGTTCGTAATTCATGCCAAATGTTACGCTCTTTGTTTTGTTTGTTTGGTTGTTTAGCATTACATTCTGTCTGTAGCAGAAAAATGTTGCCTCGTTTTTCTGGAAAATTAAGGATAAAGAAATCTCTCCTAGCACACAAATTAGCACACAAAAAAACAGTTGGGTTTAATTTCTGGTTTCATTGTCATATTGGAGTCAAAGGTTTTAATCTAAAGGAATTTGGTGCATCCTTTAATATCAGTTTATAAAAAATTGGTTTCAGTAAGGTTAATAATGTATGTATACAATCTGTATTGTAAATTAAATCTAGACACTGATTGAAGTACAACATTGCTTTGTGGTAAAGTGTGTAAAGGGGTGAAACCAGTAAATTAGGCTTGCAATGTCTCGCCGTAATCATAAGTTTACTATGCTCCACTGCCCAAAGTGACATTTGCATCGTTTGCCACAGTTTTGGTTTAGCAATTATATGTGCTGGAAATTTTCATTTACACTTTATCAGATTTCTAGCTGGTCTAAAATTAACTTTTAAGTGCTTGTCAAGTTCCAAAAAGGGTCATTTTAATTTTCCTACAAGCCCAATGCTCAATGAGAGTTAAACTCATCTCGTCCCTGTCTGGTTATCTACAAGCACACCTGTCATGACCGCAGTTGCCTTCTTTTAGCAACGGACTTCAGCTGTGTTGTATCATTTTGCAGCTGTAGGGGACACATGCAGGCAGAGGTCAGACCACAACACCGCTCTCTGGCTCATGCACAGTGGGACGGTATCCATAGTGACTGGTTTGTCTGCACAAGACGGCGTCCTCGCGCCCGATCGATTGCTCGCTCACACGCTGGAAGCAAATTCCATCGTTTTCCTGTCATGTATTCCCACGCCGCTCAGCAGTGCAAATGACAATAGTCTTTTGTCTGTGGCATGCATTTAGAAAATAAACATTTGGACAGGACTGGGGATGTTTTAAACCTTTCAAACTTTGTTGGTCATTTGCATTTTCATTAGTGTAGAACCACTATGACTTTTAGTTAGTATTTTTCTAAACATTTGACCTGTCTAAGGTGACTAATGCCAGAGTTGCCAATTAAAACATGTCCAGCGAAGTCGTCCATTGCGTCGCCTGTCTTCAGGTTTGTCCAGACATGGTGTGGTTGCTGGCTGCACTGCGGTGAGTGATGGCAGCAGGGGAATGAGGAGAGAGAGGAGGAAAGAATAACAGTTAAAATACCACACAGGAGCTGGGGATTAGCCCTGGCATTCCACTCTGCATGTCCCTCCCTCCATCTCTCCCTCACTTCCAGTCTATCTCTTCCCCCCCTCCTCCTCTCCAACTGCTCTTCGCTCCATCTCATTCATGTCGTCTTAATTGCTTTTCTCCCTCTGTCTCTGTCACCGTGTTCCATTTTTATCCCTTGATCAAATTGGTTGGTTAATAACTTAAAATATTCTCTCAGGAGTTTCACCATGTGTCTTGAGTATTTCAGTTGGGTAAATCAGTATCTAGACTTTTCTATAGAAGATATTGTTCTACCTTATTAATAGGGTACACTTTTGGAGTGTGAGGTACAAATTCTGAGATATTCAGTTTCCTAGTTTTTTGCAGCATGAGATCAAAAAGTGTGAATGCAAGTAGTTATAAAATCATCAAATGTGCGTAAGAGCAAAATCTTTGCATGTACCACATTTAAAGTTTTGCCCCTTGGACAGCATTTAAATAACACAATTTTTAACTAAAATGGCCTTTTCTCCACATTTAGTACATCTTAAAGTGCACATTTGTAAAGTTTGTTTTTTATAGTTAAAAAAAAAAAAACATTAGAATTTTGTAAAAAGATGACATCATGCATGCATTGTGAATGAAATTCAGGGAAACCTGGTACAATCTAATGACTGCTGATTAGGAGGAATATGGTTGTCGACATACCATTAATTCACATTACGAAACTATACCAGCTGTAGTATTGTGATACTAAGTAGTATTGCAATACTGTAATTTATAACTCAAATCTATGAAATAAAGAACATGGTCAAATACTATATTTTTATGTCATAAAAGGCCTGCTTGAATTTAATTCTTAATTCCCTTATTATTAAAGAAAAGTTTTTGCACATGACTCCTATAATGCATTAGTTCTTTTTGTTCATTTTTAGATGATGGTCCAACAAAAATAGTTAAAGATACAAATTATACTGATCAAAATTAGCGACAAAAAGCACAAATATGCTATATGAAATCGTCAAAAATTTTCAATGTTTTCTGTTCTTTTGGGTTTCATTTTTTTTTGTCTTACCTGTTAAAAATTCAAAGTTATTTGATTTCACTTAGTCGTTCTTTTAGGAGATTGTTGTGGTTGTTGTAGCTACTAAATCATATTGACAGGAACAGAAATGAACTGATTTAGATGTGCATTTGAACTGTAGCATCAAAATGGGCAATAAGCTGCTTTAAAAGACATGAATTATACACAGTTTTGTAATTTTAAAGGGTTCGACAGACTATTCAAATAAAACGTTCTATTGTTGCACAAGCATGTGAGCATTTTAGTGACTTTTCCACATGCAACATTATGTATTATGTTGTATAGCATTATGTTGTATAGACCGTAATGACGATACTACCGTTTACAAAGAACAATCAGTGGCACCAGTATTTTAGAGCCATAGTATCACGATATTACCAAAGTACCGGTAAACCATGCAACCCTAAGGTGAAAGAAGATCTAGTTGTGAGATTGCAAAAATAGGCAGGAATTTTTGCATACTTATTGATTTTAAAGTTCATAAAAGGTACAAAAAAGTATATTAAAAAAGACTAATTATTACAATGTGTTAAATCAATAACATTAAAATGGATGACCTAACTAATCAACGTTTAAATAACGTTCTGTATTTATCATGGTTTGTATTATGACATGATATCAATATGTAATTGTCCTAATAGTGTATCAGGGAGACCTTTTTAACCAATAGGTTATTGATGACAGGTCACATGCTTTAATCTAAACCATTTAAATGAAAATGAACTGTTCTCAATTAAACTGGGTGCTAAACCAGGAATGGCTAACATAATATACCAACACAAGCACGCACAATAAATTATATAAATACACAATTTGTTCTTCTTTCACTGTTGCTGATTTTGTCTTAGTAATCAATAAAAGCCCTAAATGTGGGAATTGAAGCGTTAGTGGTGTTAAATGCAATCCTTTCAACACTCTCTCAATCCCAGCATTTCTCTAGAGCTTAAATCACTGCTACAGGGCCCCTTGAGTGCTCTTTCTTATCAAGACTCAATTGATGGGGCCAGTGGTGTGTCTGAGAGTAAGATCTGTCTGAAGCATGGTTTTATTGATAATCTTGTAATGCTTCTGACATGGAATATGGGAGGTGAAACAAAGTAGTCGGTCTGCAAGACCATTAAAACATCAATACACTTGGAGAAGTCTCAGCCAGGTTCTTTACTCATTGTTTATTCATGAGTAACCTATGAGAAACATGCATGTTTTGTGGTTGTAGGAGTAGAGATTTCTCCACTTTGGTGCTCCAGGTCATGCTGCTGTGGTGCGGGGTTGAATAATGAATGACCTCTTTATTTAGACCCTTTCATCTGTTCTTGTGTGAGAGCCTGTTGGTGCAGGGGCGTATGGTAGAGTATGAGCTCACCTTCTGTACCAATGTCTTTCTGATGTCAGCCTTTGCACCTCTCCCCGAGCTTAAAGTCCCCACAAAATCAAAATGGATTTATTCGTTTTTATAATAATAAATGTTATCCTTAATATGTTCCTAAACAATAGCAGAGTTTACATTTAGAAGGCTCTCACTTTTAATATAGGTCAAAAAAAATTTTTCATGACATCATTCTGTACTTCAACTTCTCATCAGATTTTCTGACCAATTGAATGCTCTCTTGTGTCCAAGGTGTGTCTCCACTAGCAAAGTTTTTCTTGCATAGAAAATTGCAAGGTTGTCACCTCCGACTTATCAAAAATAAGACAAAAAATTACGACTGCTGATAGTTGCATAGCAGTTTCGAGCTCTGGTCATGTATTTAAAAACATTTAATGTAAGTCTTTTTAAATTAAATATTTTACATAAGAATATACGAATCAATCCAAAATGTGTTTGTTTCAAGTAACAAACTTTTGATTATTCCAACTCCACTTTTTTTTAGCCCCATCCTGGGCTGGGACGATTAATTGAAAAGAATTATAACTGTGAGTATTGTAGATGCGATTGAGCAAAGCTACAATTGTCATGCACTACTTAAGCCTGAGTTATACTTCTGCTCTGAGTGATCGCTGTAACCTATGGTGCATACCTAGTGCATAGCTGTCCATTTATACTTCTCCATTATGTTTGTGTTGCTCAGCAATAACACTTATGAAGTGTTTGCTGAAGGCAAGTTTTTGTGTCCATCTGTGTCCAGTTTCTTTACGGGTGTTTTGTTTAAACTGGAAATACCCGTAATGCTACCTTACTTGTCCAGAGGCAAGAACTGGCGGACATACAA